CTGTATCAGCTTACTTGCTTCTCAGGCCACCATATCCTCTGACTTTCTAACTGCAGTGGAAGTTTCTCTCCATTTTAATGACCTCACTGAGAAGCATTTTTAAATGTTCCCCTGTCATACTAAGTGCTTGTGTAAAACTGGACCTTTCAGACAGGAGCTTTCAAGTTGTAATAGACCTTATTAACAGTAGTGTTGAGAGCAGCAGGGCTTGAGCTATGGAAAGCTGCTATGGAGACCATCTAGTCAAGGGTTAAAGCAAGGAGTTGTCCTGAATCTTTTCAGATCTAGAGTGTAACTTCAACAAATTGTCAGCTCCCATGATGCTGAGATGTGCAGCAGGCAATCACCATTGTTTCTGGCAAATAGTCAGAGCTTAACAGGATTGCCTACACTCATAACAGAGAAAAACTCAATGCTATCTGTCCGTGCCAAATATAAACCTTTATTAGCAACACCAAATATAAACCTTTATTAGCAACACAAGCGCGAGGGATGTACAAATGGCTGAAACTGTTTTATGCAGAACAAACTTGGCTGTGCAGGTCAAATGATTTCCAAGGAAAGAAGGTCAAACTGATCCACTGTTGGACTGTTAATTGTTGAGAAAGGGAAAGGGTTACCAAGGGAGAGATGACATTTATCTAAGGACCATCTTTAAAAGAAAACAGGGCAAAACCATTGTATATGTTGGGCAGGGTCATCTGTGCACCCTAGCCCTCTTCTTTTGTTGGCCTGAGGATAACATTGCTGTGTGCTGTGCAAGCCCAGGCAATGTGCACTGTGGAAAGCAGAAATGAGAAGATATGGACACTACAAAAACATCCATTCCCCAAAACTCTTCATCTCTTAAAAGCCATTGGAGAGGAAAAATACTAGCGTTTGAGGGTTTCCCTGACAGTTTTATATTGCGTGCAGCACATAATAACTAGCGGATGCATTTTGCTCCTGTGCCCCTTGTGCACATAGGAGAATGAAAAGAAGAATTAGTTGAAGATCTGTACTGTTCCAAGCCAAAAGATTACTTTCCTTCTTTTTTCCTGCCCTAAACTCCGAAGTGCCTGATAGACTGGCTACAGCCTATACTTCCTGAAGTGAGTGCTTCAGGCTACTTCCATTGGCAATAATTTCCCCTGAAGTCTACATTTTCTCAGGAAAGGGTCCAGTTAATGCTCTGTCTTTGGACTGAGTTACATTATACTTTCATTGTAACTAATTTCTTGTTTGTCCTTGCCAGCCGACACAAGCCACAGAGTTGGAATCAGAAGTGGTTCCTTCCCACACAGCAGAAAATGTTGTTCACTGTATCCTATTCTGTAGCATATTGGGATACCCACTGGTGCTGGGAAGCTTTTCAACTGGCAAGATTGGCCAGACACCTTTGTATGTCCCAGTGCCAGCACACAGCAAGTGAGGAGTCTGACAGCATTCTCAGGCACTGGGGGTATTTGCAGATAAATGATTCATGGCTTTGGTTGTGATGGTCAACTTACTAGCAAAAAAATAAAGGAAGGGGGTTACCTTATTTTCCTGAGACGTAATAAACCTGCTGGCCATCCCTGCCTTTGGTTTTATGATATTTTTGATGAAATTAGTTATTTTTTTAACTCTTCAGGTGTATCCTGGCATTTGCCAGTGAAGTCTCTTGAAAGGAGGAGTGACTGCAAACATACATATGTGACTCAATGGTCTTCAATTCCATAGGTCACCTTCTAGTAGTGAAAAAAGGAGCAGGTCTCTGGGAATGTGTATGGTTGGAGCTCCCATTCTGTTCAAAACCAAGTGACCCCAAGCTCCTGGAAATGGTCCTGATTATGGCTTTGGCAGAGTGCATATTCTCAGGATAGATTTACCTCTTGCACATAGGCCTTGGAAGGGGCCTCAGAACTCCATCTCCCCATTCCTGAGCAGGTTCAGCCGTGTGTATCCCACACTTGCTTCTGTTTCAGAAATTTGCTTTGACAGATGTTTCCCTGCAGAGTGTTCCACAGCCGTTGTGCCCACCCTATTGAAAAGTAACCCAAGTAGGAGCTGACCACCAAGGCAGTTCAAAGAGTTTGTCCCTCAAATAATAACATTCCATCGTCTATATTGAAGGGATGGGCCTCATCATGAGGACACATACAGCATGTGCCTATGCCCTGCTCTGAGCTGGCAGTTTGTACTGAATTTCTACTTTCCATATGAAAGTATTAATAATTTTTGATCTTCGGTGGAAAAGGCCTTTAGATAGTTCCTTCATTCCCTTTGTCCACCAAAAGCAATAGAGATAACTGGGACTGGGAGTAGGGAACTGTATCTGTATAACAGGCTTACCAAAAGAAACTACATTTGAGACAATCTTCAGCCTTGCCAACCCACTCAAAAATTACTTACTGGGCTTCCTGTGCTGGAAGACTTTTAAAAATTACCATGTTTGTAGATGGAGTTGAGTTGGCTTCTTTGAGATGTTGGAAGTCCTATTTTCTAATCACATTTTTTAAAGCCAAGACTTCTTTCTTTCACAGTGGAAGCTGAGATTTCCATGTAATGACAAAAAAATGCTCATCTTTGGAGAAAACACCGGTTTGGGCTAGAATATATGTGTTCAAGTCAGTAACAGCATGTCATTTAATGCCAAGGAACTTTGGGTGATAGAAACCCACCAGAAGTTCTGCAATGAGAAAAGCAGGTACTGACACTGTAGGATTAGAATGTGATTTAGGGAATGAGTTGAAGTGAGGTGTCTGCTATGGCATTATTACCTGCAGTTCCCAGTCACATAAATGTGGTTTTCTGCAAGCTCTGCCTGCAGCAAGGCTTGCTCACAGAATATTCTGAGTTGGAAGGGACCTACAAGGATCATTGAGTCCAACTCTTAAGTGAACGGCCCATATGCAGATCTAACCCACCACCTTGGCATTATTAGCACCATGCTGTAACCAACTGAGCTAATCTCAGGGAGATGTGGATGTTCCAGGATAACTGTTGACAACAGATTCCTCAGTGTCTGGGTGAAAGAGACCTTTACTGCGTGGATCTGCATGCTCAGCTAACATGGACAGGAGGAAGGTGAAAAGCATGTCTTCTGCCCTGGAGCTGATTTCAAAGCTGAGAGAAGAACTCTCATGTGCTAATTTGGTGCTTTCTTGGAAACATCCTCTCTGTCACTGAGAAGTGGCACAATCTGCATTTATACATCCAGTTGTTAACAACAAAGAGGAAAGGCTGGCAAAGTTGTGGCACAACATGCAAGTGTATTAACAACCAGGGTATAGGAAAGTGTTAAAAGGATTATGTAAAAGGACAGAAAGAATTCCTTTTGGAAGAAGCAAATTTGTTGCTTAGTGTGAGGGGAAGGAAAGGAGGATGCAAAGAAGGATTTATTATGCAGAGAAGAGAGGGACAGATAGGGCTGGGGATTTTCTACTGCTGTAGCACATTAATTCACAGAGGGACCTGAACTGTTAGTGTTTTGAGAAATGAGGCGTGTGAATCACAGAAAGGCTTCAGAAGGACTGGAGAATGTTCTAAATGTGAGCAAAAGCACTTATCCCAAGACAGACATGTAGGAACAGTGCCTAATGAATTCAGACAGCAGCTAGTGTGCAAGTATCTGCGGGGCTGTGACAGTCAGTAGTCAAAATAGAACTGTCAACTCAAAGTCGTGTCAATTTTCTATAGAATCCCATCCAACACCCTTTAAATCATTGGAAAGATTCCCGTTGGCTTCAGTTTACAGACTCCTACTCACTTACACCCCCATCCTAGCCAGAGCCCAGCTCCAAAATGGACACCCATCAGGCACGGCTCTCACAAGGAAGTGGCCAGGATTGAAAGCTATTGGTGTCCTTCTCCTTCCTGTGACAACTACTTGCGAGCACCAGCAAAGCCCAGAAAAAGCTGTCAGACATTTTGGAAGGCAACAGAGACCTCCCTGGGCATCAGCAAAGTCCAGCGATAGCCCTGTGGTGCTCCAGAGGGAAGCAGGACCCTGTGTGGGCCTCACAAAGCCTGGCAAAAGCCCCAGAACACTCTGGAAGGCAGCAGCACCCCTTGCAGGCCAAAGCAAAACCCAGCAAAAGCCCCAGGGCGCTCTGGAGGGAAATAGGGCACTGACAAAAACCATCAGAGAAGGTTAGGTGGTTGAGGTCACATGTAGGCTTAGGGATATGGTTAGAGTTGGGGTTAGGAATTAGGTTTAGTTATATGGTTTGGGATTTAGAGTTTAGGTTTAGGGTTGGTGTTAGGGTTAGTGGTTAGAGTTTAGGGTTGGGCATTATGGTTAGGTTTTGGGATTAGGGTTTATAGTGTCTTTACAATCAGGTTTATGTTTTGGGTTTAGAGTTAGATGGTTAGAGTTGGGATTACAGGGTTAAATTTAGGGGATTATGATTAGTGTCAAGTTTTATAGTTAGGGCGTAGTGGTTTGGTTTAGAGGTTAGAGTTAGCATTAAGTTTTAGGGTTAGAGTTTGGTTTAGGGGTTAAGTTTAATGTTATGTTTAGCCTTACGGGTTAAATTTAGAGTAATTGTTGGGGTTTAATGTTTGGGTTAGGGCTAGAGTGAGCTTTAGGGTTTGCCTTTTTTTTTAATAAGAATTTTAATGGATATGGTATCTATCAGATAATTAACAGATATTTTGCCTTGTTCCACATGCCAGTTTTAGAGGGCAGTGAGAGTTGGAAACTGGGCGAGTTGCTGCACGTAGGAACAGGTGTTTCATCTATCAGCAACAAGATTTTTTTCAGCAGTTGAGCCAGGTACCACATAGATTCCAGCTGACACACAGGATGGTTTAGTACAAGTCTGAACTGTCATAAAGACCCCTGGGTTTGAGAAGCCAGTCAGCCATGCAAGTGATACAAATCCAGGAAGAATTACTGTACTTTGGAAGACAGGCTCATCAAGTAGGCATGTTTCCTGACTAAATGAGAGAACTGTTGGTGCCATTCAGGAGATTCATGGAAAGCAGTTCATGCAGAAATAATCAGATGCACAACTAGAAGAGTGGAAAAGAGGTCGTGGAACAGATCAGAAGATCAGAAGATGCAAGATGTGATGACTAACAGTAAAAGTCTTATGCTCCATGTAGGAGGAGCAGATGGTAGTTATACCAACTAACACTGGTAAGTGAATCCCAAATCATATCAGTCGGGCTGTACTCTGCTGTGCTTAGCATGTGTTAAACTACAGCATACAGCATCTGACTTTGGAAAAAACTAACAGAATAAAAGCAAAAATGCATACACAACTTCTTTGAGAAACACAACACAAAACAGTTTGATAAAAAAGGAAGAGAGTCAGCAGTATTTAATCCAGAAAGAGAGGCAAAATTGAGATATTATGACATCTTAAGGGTGGAAAAAGGTACATTTTGAGAGTGTGGATAGTCATGAGGCATGGAACAAGCCCTGATCTAGTGCCTCTTTCCTAGAGCTAGTAAAGAATAGACCATGGATTAATAAGACAGCTACGCTCTAGGATGGAAATTAAAAAAAAACCCTACAATTATTAAGTGACTTAATAATCACCCTTGACATCCCAGATGAGTTCACAGTTCTCTGACCTGAGCGGGTACTGCAAGGAAGTCCAGTTCTTGTTTTGTGCAAGAGTAGCAAAGTTGGTGGGCTGTGTGATGCCAGGACTTGAGGCTGATGATGTATCTGTATTCAGTCACCGGATTTCAAGTTGAAAGAAAGGAAGTGACAGAGCAGAAGACTTGGTGCTGTAATTCACTGCAACACTTAAAGTGAACAACAGGATCTCTGATGAAGCAGCAGAGGTAACAGAATGCAGCTCTAGCAGCTGGAGTACAGAGAGGAAAGGCGTGATCAGAAGAGCAGGGTCTGCAAGTCTGGCTACTATGTATGACGCCAAGAGATAATAAACATTGCCATGCATATAACATAGCTTAGTGCCCAAGGATGCAGTGGCAAAGCCCAAGCCCCTGTGTGTACTTTAGGCATCTACACTCAGCATTTTTGCAAAGGGTTCTCAGAACTAAGAACTCTAAAAATGTTCTTGCTGCGGGGTTTTCCCAAGAAAAATACTTCTGTTCTGCTGTGAGCCAGAAAAAGCTAACAAAATCCAGCTTGCCAGAGTACAGGCAAGGGGAACAGGGCCCCTCCCACAAAGAAACAGGACGGGTATCCACTCACATTGAGGCAAAGAGAAGGGAAACATTCATGGCAGTCTTTGGAGGTTTTTGGAGAAATGCCATCCTCTTGTCCACAAAACAACTGCAGGTTGTTCACAGAGACTCTTTTGTCTCATGAGCAGAGGGTATTGTAGTCATTAAAGGGGTACAGTAAATTTACTACAGAAAGAGAAGTTGGAGTGACTAGGGACAAATAGAAAAGCAAGAACAAAATGCCCACTCGGTACATTGGGACAAGCAAGAGGGTCCACTGGAAAGAGGGACATCTCTGAAGTTGAGGCACTCACAGTACCAACAGCTTCCAGCACCCACTTGCCTTTTTCTCACTCCCCAGTGAATGCTTCAGCCTAGAACTCAGCAAGGTTAGGGACATGTGAGCCTCGCCCTCATCTCTCATGGCAGCAAGTCTCCTCAGCCCCAGACATGGGGAACACAGCCAGTCACTGAGCAGGCTCTTCAGAGGCATGTAGAAAAGGCAGCTCTTGACTCAGTGCTTTAAATCTCAGGACTCCTTCCTCCAAGTCGATGCAACACTAAAGAAGGGGAGAGCCAGTTACTTGCTGGACATTTCAGATCACAAATCTCATGATGTCTGTGACTGGGGAAAACCTGCAACACCACTTTGGTTTTAGAGAGACCTTAGTTTCCCTTTGTGTTCTCCATACTGCCTCCTTGGTCCTGTTTCCCACAATGAATTCCTCTCCAAACCCTTCACAGGGCCATTCCCCTCCCTTCTTCCTATGATTCCCTCTGAACTGATGTCCTCACACCACTTAGCCTTTCAGCCCAATGCTCTTCCTGTTTTATGAGTCTGACATGTGGGTATAAATACATGACAGATAGGAGCCAGGTTGCTGCAGACATATTCTGAGCCACCCAGGACTCAGACTCAGCAGAGCATTGACCCTGAGCCAAGCTGATAAAAGGAGAGGATGCTTTCCATTCATGGCCAGCTAGTGTTGGATACTGAATATGATTATACAGCTTCATTGGCTTAAAGCAAAAGCAGAGCTTGTTCACATCTGCCTTCAGAAGGCGACACATATCTCGTGACAGAGTTAGTGTATTGCCTTTTCTTGTCTCTTCTTCAGTTTCTTCTTCCAGTTTGCAACTTGTATGGTCAGGAATATAAAGAATGGGAGATGTTACAGTATCCTATTGGGAGTTTCCTTTCTTAAAACCCTTAAGAGGGAGTGGAAAGGAATCAGTGACTCAGCACATACTGCAGCCAGTCAGGCAGCTATGTGATAAGCATTGCCCTGAAAGCCCTGGATATGAGTATTTTGGATGCTTACAGCAATCAGATCTTGGAGAACTTCTTGAGAGGAGCCCTCCAATAAGCAAGGAGCTGTTCCTTACCTTGAGAGACCACAGAGTCTGGAGACCAATGCAAAACTCCAGCATTTCATCATCTGAGAAGAGAGAAGACACCAATCAGGCTTAAAACTATACAATACTACCCATCTAAACAAAGAGTGTTTCTCCTGTAAGAAGATATGGAATACAAGAACATCTGATTCATAAACTTATGTGGTTATGGTCTCTTCACTATAAAGTAGGTAAAAAAATAATGAGGAAAATGATGAGTTAAACACACAAACACTAACAAGCAGGTGGTAACAGTGACAATAATAAATCAGCACTCTTCTGGCACTGACTGATAAGCCATTAGAGGAGCTATTTTTGCACAGTCCTGAAGATGGTCAAAATTAACTTTGTTGCTGATAAGAGGAGGAAACCACGATTATCTTGACTATTATGAGATATTTGAGTGGGGGCGTGGGATTGTTTGAAACTTAATATGAAATGTCAGAAGGGGCTTGTGGGATCCCATAAAACTTACTGTGGGCTGTGTAAAGGAAGGACCGAAGGCAGGGGAAGGCAAGCAGCAGGATGAATCAGGGAAGAACAATCATGGAAAAATGGAGAGGAGAGGGGATATGGGGGCAGTCACATGCAATTAGGCAGTTGGTCAGTTCACTTGTCTGACCAAACCCTGCACCTAACGGCTGCAATTTATCCAATCTTATTAGATAATTTTATTAAGTAAATTTTTTCTGTGTAACTTCTCCGTCCTACATTTGACTGCTGCAAGTCTTCAGTGTCAACAAGTGTAGAAGATGCCATGGGTTAAAGGGTAAATAGCTGTAGATGTCACTAACTTCAGGGACTGGCAAGGGAGGTGCCACTAACTGAAGGGACTACAGATCATAGGGCTCATAGGTGTATGTCAGCAACTGGAGAAAAGGACATAGCTCACAGGTGCCAGCAACCAGAGACACCAGTGTGCAAGAGAAGCCTGGGTGCCATAGAGTTTATACACCTGAGTGCCAGCAATAGAGGGATTACGATGTGTGCTGCAAGGTCTGAGTTCCAGTAACTGAATAAAGACTGTGGATCACAGAGCTTGTAGGTCTTGGTGCCAACAACTGGAGCGCTCAGCATGCAAGAGAGCTCTGGCTACCTGCTCTGACTGGGGTCAAAAAGGCCTTAGGTTTATTAGTCAGCAATTGAAGAGGACAGGGCACAACTATGAGAGGTCTAAACGCCACTAACTAGAAAGACTTGGGTGTATTTATATTTTCCCTATGAATTTGATCCTATGAGGTTGTGGTTTTGTACTCAAGGGTCTAGGTCAGTGGCTAGGTAGGGGGCCTATTGTCCTGACACAGATATAAAACAGATCTAGAAGCTGTGCTGTTATTCAAAGACTCTGTGAATATAAGTGTGTTTGTGAATCTAGAGAATGAGGATCTGTGAACTTCTGCTGGTGACCTTCAGTCCTGGTCAGCTGGAGAGGAGGACCAGAGCTAGGCTATCTGTATTGGTATTTATGTGCCTGCTGGTAAAGGCACTACTCTGCATGTGGTGATCTGTGTGGCTGGCCTTGTCTCTGTCCTTTCTCTATGTGCCTCTTTGGAATATACCTTCAGCCTTGCTACTACCCCAACCTGCCACTAAGAACATGCATTGGACTGGGTGGGAGTGGCCTCCTGCATCTTAGAGTTGCCCATCTGGACTTGAGTGGCAGCTAAGGAGGAATTTCCAGGTCCTGGAGTCTGCAGGAATCAGGAACCATCAGTAACACTTCCCATGTCTCCTGAATGCCAGCTTGCCCTGTAACAAGTGACTGTAATTTATAATTTATTTATAATGACATAAGCAAGAGCACTGTGTGTACAGGGAGGTATAAGACACAAGGGTAGCAATTCTGCTCCTTCCAGGCAGACATCTCCACATGCCAGCAAAATGGATAGGTGCTACTGGGCTAAATTCACCTGTGATGGTACTAATACAGATTCTCCATAAAGGACAAGAACTCGTACAGGGAAAAACAGAAGAGAAGAGTAAGCTTGAGTGTATAAGAGGAGGAAGCTCTTTCTAGATGACTAGAAACATGGAAAGAATGGGCATGAAAAGAGGGAGCAAGGAAGGCCTTGGAAGATGAATAGCACTCATCAAAGATGAGGAAACAGATAAAAGCAAGAGAGTAAAACTGGAAGGTTAATAGGGATAAAGAACAAGGGAAAAAAAAGATAATTAAGTTGTTTTCAGCATATGCACAGCTTGATGTGAATGTGGAACATGCAGCCTTTCTGCTGTTTGATGGGCGTGCCTCAGTGCCTGCTGACTTGGCCTTGGGTACTATGGCTCCTTCCTTCAAAGAGTCCTGCTTCAGGACACTGGGGGAGACTCAGCACTCTGTGGCTACCAGGTTCTTTCAGGGTGCTCCCTGCAGCAGAAGCAGAGGAACACACAAGAGAAACACTGGGGAATAAGCTGTACCCTCTGTTGCCTTCTCTGATGACTTTCAGCCAGAGATACAAGTGCCCATTCAATAGAACATAGGGTACCAGAGGACTAATCAAGCCTTCTGCATAATTTTAAGAAATGTACATTTTAGAATGTAAATGAGAATTTTCCATATCCTTTTTTAAGACCAAAAAGCTCATAATTTCTCCCCACTTTCCACATCTTCTTTCTTCTCTGTACCCTTCCTATGCCCTTTGCATTTGGTTAGGTTGAAGGTATTCACAGCACATAATGATGTTGGCCAGCAGTGGAAGCGACCACATCACCAACCTCCCACCATGTTACGCTCTTCTTAAAGGTCCTTCTAAATGCCCTTGGCAGGGCAAGAGGGACAGAGGAAAAATAGGGGAGATGAGGGGCTGGCACTCTCACCTACAACCAGTGCTGAACACAACACTGTCTCCGGGCCAAATTGCAACTCCATATGTTCTACTTGGCCAACAACGCTGGGGATAGGAAGAGAGAGGTCTCCACAGTCCATGGCAGACACTTCTTCCAGCCTGTGGGACACAAGAAGTGTTATTGCCTCAAGTGGAGGAAGAGTAGGAAAAACAGGACTTCCCACTGATGCAGTTCTTTTTGTTCTCGTTGGGAATAGGCCCACAAAAGGAGGAATCTCTTTCACACAGTATGTCTGGAGGCAGATTTAACAAGCAAAACCTCACCACTAGCCATCAGCTGGGCTGCTTTGCCTTGCACTACACACGGACAGAATGACACAGCTCTGCCTCCCGGTCTGGGGTCTGCACACAACTTTGCCAGTGCTCCTGATGCCTTACCCTGTATCTCACCTTCTGCACTTTCTCCTAAACAGCCGTGTGCACATGCAAAGCTGCTAGTAATTATCACTGGGGCTGGGAATCAAGGGTGCCTAGGTTCTTGCCATAGTTTTTCTTTTAGCCATCTCTTCTCTTCTACTGTGCAAAGACTTACCCCAGCTGGTTTAAACAGCTCTTGGAGATGAGGTTCGGTAGACACCCAGTGTTAACAGTCGCTTTCAATACCTGACCTTGGCACTAGAAAAAACAACAACAGATGGTTACTGTGGGCTCAAAATGGGCATACTCACTCCTCCAACTTTCTGAGCAACACAGCCAAAGATGTGGTGTTTTAGGCAGTAGTCAGAAGGCAGGAGACTTATCCAAGACAATGGTGGTCTCCAGAGTGCTCTGCAAACATCTGTCAAAGACTTCTTTTTGAATTTGTCTTCTTTCATTTGATTGCCCAGACACTTATCTGTTATTAGGGACTTTACCTTAACAGTGTTCCAGCCAAGAGATGAATAATTAGTGAATTTTTTCAGAAAACCCCCATGGACTTTATTAGCAGAGCAATAGTTGATATGACAAAAGCTTCTAAAGGAATACAGGCATGTGCTACAGCCTTTGTCATTTCTCCATTTCTTCTGGTGTTGCAGGTAACAATTTTCAAGGGCTAGACATTTGTTTTCAATTGAAGAGCTTCCAGAGGGAGAAGTTGGAAACAGAAGTACCCAGCACATATACCCCTGAGATGAGCTGACAAATTCAAATGCTTCCTGAATACAAGACACAACCTAATCAGAAGGTGTTTATTTTGTGTAGGGCTTACATTATGTTCAGATATAGCTCTTCAAGGATATATGACATGATATTACAACTACAATAGTCACAGCTGGTGTCATTTAGCGAAGGGAGAGACAGGATGCCTTGCACCCCAGTCACCTGTGCTTGATCTTGCTTATTATTGGAATAATCCCCAATGCCTTGCTCACTTCATTTCTTCACCCCTTTGCACTTGAAGGGGAAAAGGAAAGGTGTTTGCCATGTGTTTTCTGCCCCCTCTGCACGGAGGTCCTTAATGGCAGGCCAGAGTTGGTGAAGTAACAGCAGGTCTCACATATGTTAGAGGTTTGAAAAAATAGGGTAATCAAGGACATTGATAAGAATTATGTTCAGGGAAAAAAAGGAGGAGCAGGACTTAGGAAAGGAATTGGAAAAGTTGGGTTAACTGCCATCTACAAAATATGTTTTTCACCTGTCTCTAGTTGCTAATACCCATTCTTGATGGCCTAGTTCTTCAAGGCTCCGTCTTGCACCAACACCCACAGAAAGCCAGCCACAAAGCTTCTGTTTAGAGAGGCTCTTTTTTTCCCTACTATCATTTGTGTTTTTCCTGTGATTCCCTCTCTTCCATTCACTATGGTGTTCTGTGCCATTAGTCACTCAGAAGCAGCAACAGACCTCCCACTGCTCCTCTACCCTTATGCTCATTCCTGACAAGGTTAAATGCTTGATCACCTTAAGCAGACCAGCATGGCTATGAGGTACTCAGTGCAGCACCAGTAGGGTCAAGGAAAACATTTCAATTTCATGATTTCTTAACTAAATCTGTTTCTGACTATTAATCATCACAGAGAGCTACATTATTTCCAAGATTTCCAAGAGCTCCAGTATTTCCAAGATTTCATTTTCAAAAATGAACTATTTGTGAGCAGTTATAAAAAGAAAGAACAAAATATCTCTTGTGAGAAATACTGGAATGCTGCAAACAGACACAATATCACTAGGGTCCCTTTCAGCCCGAATCATTTTGTGATTCTATGACAAAATGCCTCCCTTCTGATTTTAGAGCTCTGCAATGTCTGTGCTGTCTGGTCCTCACTGATGTATCAGCCCTGCCCGCAAGGATTGTGGCCAGATTGAGCAGAGAGGTAAGATAAAGGCACAGAATGCAGATGTATGCTAAATGTCTGTCTCCTTATCCTCTCTACTGTGCTTCACAGAAGAGGTTTCCCTGTGCCTCCTCACTACCTAAGTGGGTATATTGACCATGAATCTCAGATCACGTGTGCCACCACATTAGCCCAGGCTGCAACCTGCCAACACTGTCCAGCCAAAAGAGCTCTTCCTCAGTAACAAACATGGATTCTACTGGGAAAGCATTAACCATCCCTCTGGCTCACAGAAGCCAACTGTTCATTGCCCAGCTGCAGAAAAAGCATTGTATCCGCTTCTCAGAAACAGAATACCTGAAGCATGGATAGCAGTTGCTAAGGAATCACTTTGAGAACAGGCTGACCTGAGATGCATGAGCCGTTGTTGTTATAATAAGCCTAAACTCTATCACTAGGCAGATTCTTGAGTTTTGTTTCAGAGCAGGCTGGGAAAGTTGCAAGTTAGAAACTTGCTAGGACATAACAGGACAGTGATTATTCTGTAGAAAATGACATTTAATCTCATTCGGTGTAAACAGCCCAGTACAGTTATCAGTTCCAGCAGCATCACGAAAGTTATCCACTTTCAAATTACACCACTAACTATTTGTCCAGAGAACTCACCAGGAGCCTGAGGAAAGTCCTCCATCCAGCATACCACAAATACAATGCAGTTGAGGTAAGGACTACACAGGCAGCTGATGAGCACTGCAAGCCTTCTCGGCCTAAGAGGACTTTTCATCACATTACCCACTCCCACCTCTGTTCCAGAATTTTCAGTTTGTTACTACCAGTCACCATTAGTCTTTATCTAAATGTCAGTTACGGGGATTTCCAAGAAAGAGGGGAAGGGGAATCAGTAAGGATCACCATTTATAAGGAACTGTGTGTTCTGAAATAATGTAAGTTCCAAAGTCAAGAAGATGCTTTAACAAACAAAAGGCTGATTAACCCCAGGTTGCTTTGGCATAGAAGAAAAGTGGCCTGGGACAGCATTGGAATCTTTCAGCATCTATTTCCAAGTCAACAAGAGACAAGCCCCACAAGAAAAAAATAACAGCTTGATTCTATGATGCAGCTGCCATCATGATAAGCTTTCCAAAGTGCTTTGCAAAAGCTGTCACAAAAAGGACAATTCTCCTAAAATACCATGTGGGCAAGCCACCTAAGCAAACAGAAGGATGATTGACTCTGCAGTTCAACTCTTACAGACTGGCTCTGGCTCTGATCTCTGAGACTTAAAAAGGCCTTAGGCACAGGGCAACTATAACCTGTTAGAGTGAAAACACTTCTTGCCTGAATCTCCCTATAGCACTGAAGACTACAGATATTTGGGCTTGTTCCCCAGGCAAGTTCAGTTCCAAGTCAGTTAATGCATTTGTTAGCACTTTGAAATTTTCGGCATATTTGCCTGTGTGTAAATGGCAGCTTTATGCTGGTAGACTATCTTTTCTCAGGAGGTACTGTCAGGGAAAAAGACTTCACTGGGGTCGCGTTCCATTTCTAATAAAACCTGCACCATAATCAAGCAGTTCCCCAAAAGGTACCATCTCACCTCTCTGGTTAAAATGAACTGGCTGCCTGAGTCCTATTTCCTGCCACAGTTCTGTTACTGACAGGAGAGGCTTTTTGAAGTTCACAAATGAGAACATCAAAAGCAGCAAGACAAAAAGAAGGGGAGGAGAGCTTCCCTTCCTTCAGTGTAAGAAGATCAAGTGTGACAAACAGTGACTGGCTCTTAAGAAGGGCAGAAAAAGAGAGAAATGCCTGTGCAGAATTCAGGGAGTGTTAGACCTATTTCCTTGACTGTGATGTTCATTAACCCTCCTCTGTGACGGAAAATAAAATGTGTGTGACAGCTGGGGTCCAGTCCATTAGAAACACAAACGGTCCACTAGTGGACCCTGCTGCTGACTTAACTACTGCCCCTGGGATACAATACCTGTACATGCTTGTCCTTGCTCAATGTACATGCCTGGCAAAAAAACCCACCCTTTGTCACTGAATTTCCTCATACAGAACAGTAAAGAGTGATTATTAAAGAGAAAGAAACAACTTCATTTGCTCAAAACCAGGCTCCAGGTATTTGGAGAAATTATATTAAAAAACCATTTACCCTGCTAGTCTGTTCCCAACTACGGTTATGTTAACCTAGCTACATTAAGGTCTAAAACCCAGGGTAAGCAATGCCTGATTGCAACAGTAAAGGCTGCAAAACAAACCAGACAGTGTCTTTGCTTGCAACCTTCCAGAAACTTGCTACCATGCTGTGTTCTTATTGTAATTTATTGTGCCAACTGAATTTTAAAAGGTGTATGTGTTTTTCTTGGAAGTGTAGCCTTTACTCTCTAACATGGGAGATGTTTTTAGGACAGGTAACTGAATTAAAAATAGTTTTAAAATGTATTTTGTATCCACCCTGTACCAGGTCTATATCTTGGTGAGTCTCATATCTGCATATTACTGAGCAGCTTCAATCATGTAGCCCTCTTGCAGGGAGCACAGCTTTTGGATGTGCTTTCTGAAGAACAGGGGTCAGGGATTAGTGTGCTCTGCTGTATAGGAAGGTATAAGAAGAAAAGGGAGCTAAAAATACTGCTTCCATCAAGAGATGCAGCAATGCTAATTCAGAGCACAGTTAGCCACTTTCTGAGAAAGTCCTTTGACACCCAAGGGAATCAGACCAGACTGGATCCAGCAAGTGTAAATCAACTAGGGTCACATGTTTTTAAGTGATAAGGAGACATTCCTTGTTTCTGTATGCAGTTATGAAATACCTCATATCATAGGAAAACTGGCCTTCAAAGGAAGGAGATGTGATTAAGGTAATTTATCCTCAAATATGGACAACTAGAATGCATGTAGCAGAAAGGCTTCCCTGTGGCTTTTGGAAGACCTGAATCCAAACTCTAGGAGAGGCCATGCATGAAATCTGCTCTCTCTGGCTGCAGCTAGCATTGCAATTTATAACTCAACACGGCCCTTAGGAGGGGGGCAGCTGGAGCTCTGAGCTTTTGCCATCACTGTGAAATCAGCAGCACTGTGTTGTTGCCTTACCTGGCACTGTATTAGCAGGGGTGAAGTCTCTTTTCTCCTGTTCTCTCCCTTTTCCATCTTTTCATCCTGGTCTTTTGCCAGTGGAGATTGAACCCGTGCAGACTGAACTCGTAGCTTGTTCAGATTGCCTTCCAAGAGGCGCCGCTGGACCACACTGTGTGGCTGCTGTCTCCATCACAAAGAAAGAGAAATCCCAGCTAAGAATGGAGCTAAGGACAAGGACATTTGCTAGCTCAGGGAAGCAGGTTGCAAATGCCTAACCCAACTGACCACTCTGATGAAAGACAGGCTCTTATCCCAAAAAACTTTCTTTAAATCCCAAGATTTTTTTTCTGTTGCCACTAAGGTGATGTTAAAGTGTTGGGGTGTCTGTGACAGGCAGATCTCTGGAATGCAGCTACTGGAGGAGAAAAACATGCCTGATGCATGGTCTCCCCACACATATCTGTTCCTTCAGCTAAACATGCACTGGGCAGTCTCATACCTGTTCAGGTACTGCCATACACTACTGAGTGTGTGCTGACAACCAATCAGGCACATTCACACCTTCTAATGTGGGAGGGGACAGGGAATGCAGCATGTGTGTGATGTGTACCTGTGGGCAAGAAGGCAGGACTCTTGAAATTTTAGGAGTACAAGCAATTATTTGTAGTGAAGCAGAAAGCTCCCCCACATCAGATGCTCTAGCTTTTGTCCAGTATTGATCCAGCACTGCTACTGAATCAACAATGGGCAACACCAATGAAATAGGCCTGTTGGAGGAAGCTTTGTCCATTCTCCATGTACTTGCCCCCATGGCCCTTCTCCAGGAGAGCAGCTGCTCAGAGCTGACCATGGCATTCTCAATAACAACTACCTAAGTGAAGAAAGGCCAAGAATCTAAAGGGGTTAATGTGCTACAGCATAAACTGTTGCTTTTATCTTTCTAAAAAAAAAATTAAAAGATTAATTAAGTCCTAGACAGTGCAGCAGTTTGATGTAATAATGGCCCATCTTCGCGAACGAAGATTTGGGGAAAGGTCTTTTTACCTTTCCAGCCTGCGCAATGGATTTTTTAGGTGAGACACAGCCTGTGCTGAACTGAGCCCACCCTTTAATCCTAAGGTTAATCTGCCGGGGCCAAGCAAGCTTGGACAATGGCAGTGAGGTCCTCAGGACGTAGGTTTGTTTAGAGTGACCTTCTCATAGATGGATGGCCTCACAGGGCTAACGACCTCCATCAGGCCAGGAGACCGGGGACTCGAACCTGTGGTTGCAGCAGTGAAAGTCCTGCACGCTAACCACTAGGCCACCAGGGGTCTCAGCAGTTTGATGAAGGATCTTGTCAATGTGCAGGCCAAACACGTGAATTACACCAGACCTGCCAATGAGCTGGGCACCCACAATGTACATGTGCTTCGGACCAGCTTCATGCTTGATCAGAGGACTGAGGCCAGAGAAGTGTGTAAATTGCCACTTGAAGTACCCTGACTGGTCATATTTGCCCAATGGTTGGAGCGGGACAGATGTTACTGGCTTTTTGGTCACAGTCAACATTGCTCTTTGCAAGATGCCAAGTCCCTCATGCCTCTATTTCCTTGTCACTCAAGGGGTGAAGGTCAGATCATTCACATGCTGCATGGGAGGCACTGCAGTAGTTGAAAAAGTGAGGTAAAAATATCCCTCTGTTCCCAGTCTTTTCCCAGCCTACTGTGCTGGCCCACAGCACAGTTGGCCGTTGTACTTAACTCCCTAAGTACTCTGAGCACAGTGCCAGTTTGCCTGCCAGCTAACATCTGGGCCATGGGAAAAGGGCAGGGAACAAACAGCAGGTCTTCGAATTCCCATCCTCCCTCCTATCTCTCACAATCTGACATGAAAAGGACCTTTCCCTCTCCCCGCAACCTTTCCCACAGACAGAGCAGGCCCTTTGCAGCTGCCACCTCTGTCCCCATCTTGTCACTCAGGCTGGAAAGAGGCCAAGTGCTGATGGGGATTTGCTGGGATGTGGAGTCATCTGATCAAGACCAGACTCCTGGGGCCCTTCCTATCTTCTCTTTCACCAGTAAGATGGAGAACAGGAGACTGTTGTCTCTCTTGGACTGGTCAGAAACAATTAGATTTAGAGGATGGTGAGGGAGGACCTGAAGGGTGTTTTGGCCAGCAGCTGGAAAGGAGGCCCTCTCAGGGCACTTAAAAGGGTCAAAGCAGGTTCCCAGTGCAACTTAGGGAAGGTTCAGGCTCTCTGGTATGAAATCTCAAGGCCTTGCTATGATTAGTGTCATTGTATGAGCTGGGGAATTTGATTTTTGGGAGGCGAGAAGCCAGATCTCCAGACCTTCTTGGTACTTTCAGAATATGTAGCTCATGTAGCTACTTATTTTATTTTGGCATTAGGAAAAAATAAATCATGCTTGTTGCTACAAAGCTGGAAATGTGAGGTCTCCATAGAAATATATAATTACTCATTGTTGGAGACATGATGGGCCCATCAAATCCCAGGCACTGCTGGATGCATTGCATAAGCTGAATGCACACTCAGAATACACAGAGAGGAGTGGCAAAAAGTAACAGCCTGTGACTGCAAAAGAAAGCACATATTTAGTTTTAAATTACACGAGGCCTTGCTCTAATTTTAGGATATCTGGGATGGCCACAGCTGGAGTCTCTGGTACTGTCAATGGAAACCTGTTTTGGGGAATCAATTAAACTCTCCTCCTAGTGTAAGTGCTATAGGACTCTGGGGTGTTTTGCTCTCTCTCCAAGATCAAACTCTACAGCACTTCCTACTGCTGCTTTGTTTTCAGTACATTCCCTTTTTGTATTCCTGTCCTCCAGGAGGGATCCAGATAAATTTAGGAAACATAGATGGGGTTTTATAGGGCTGGAGAAATGCCAGGAGATATATGCCAAAAGCATATTTTGGACTCTAACTTGCAGTCCCCAAAATGTCACAGCAATATCAGAGTATCCCATCAAGTTGTAGGAACTTCTGAATTACTCTTGGAAATCTAAGGCCTCCTTCTCCTCTTGCTCCAAGATAAAGCAGAAATGGAGGTACCACGTGGGTCCCATGCATGCAAACTTTGCACAGGGGCCACACTTTATTTTGTGCCCTCTAATGCCAGAGCAAAACCTCCATGTCAGAAAAGATGTTATGCTTTATTCACTGCCCCCATCTCCATGGTAAAAATGTTTCAGCTATTCTGTCATGGACCAAACATGAAGTATGCAGTGTTTTGCAGTGTTTTGCATGCTGTCTACGCACAGGGAATTCTCCTGCTTAGAATGGTTAATCCAACCAGGAGAGCTGCTCATGGCAAGTAATTTGGACAAGGACTGTCTTGCTCAAGAGAGCATTTGTGGCTTCAGGGTGCCAGTTGTCACTCTGGAGCATGGTGTGACAAGAATCAATTCCAAAGCAAAGCAGGTAGACATGTTTCTCTCTACCTTGGTGGCTGGGGTCAACAAACACACACTAAAACACTCAGAAGTGGCTCCTTCCCATACCCTGCCAAAAGCTGTCCAGGGAGAGGCCCAGGGGTATGTCTGGCTATGCCCTCCTGAGGGGATGTTTAGCTGCAATGCTGCAGGGCTTGAGGGCCAGTGCCTGCCTGTCTGTGCTGCCAGTCTGAGCGGAGCCCTCCAGGCTCCAGTGTGGCCAGACCTCCTTCCCTGTGGTGAGGAGAGTCCATGTTCCTTGCTAAGACAGCACTTATGTGATCTCTCTCTCGTACTTCAGCAGTGACAGCGTGCAGGGTCAGAGGGACACAAGACCAGTCCCTGCTGATGTCCATGTATGTGCAGCTGTGAAGGGCTGGCAGAACACAAGGCGACAGCTCAGGGTGACTTTGAAGAGCCACCCTTTACCCTGCTGAGCCACAGACTCTCAGCGGCTGCTGAGGCAGCTGTGTGGTGGGTGTGGGAGACAGGAGGCTGTGCCAGCATGGGAATGTGGCACTGACCCCTCGTCTGCGCAGGGCAGAGCTGCTGCACCTGAAGAGTTCAGTAAGGAGAATAGCTCCCACTCAGGCCCAGTGGCTGCCCATCCCACACACGTGCTCCTGTGTGCCTTGCTTCCAGCAGCCTTGTAGCCTGCCACGGGAGCTGGGAAATGATGGGAGACACACACACATGAGCCTCTGCGGTGTTGCAATTGTCTGAGGATACAGAGGGAAGCACAGACTGCAAGGAGGGGCGAGATCTTTTCTGACACCCACAGGCACAGATGGAATAAGTGGTTATGCCCCCATCACAACTAGACCCGGGCACTCTTTCAGGAAAATAGTTTAGTCCTCTGTCTGCATCCTTGAGCAGCTAAACTCCACAGCGGAAAGAAGTTAGACAGCAAAACTGCCAGAGCAAGGGAAGTATGCGTGCAGTTGAGCCAGCAAGAGAGCCCATGGGGAAACTGCTTCTAGCCTTGGGGAAGTCCCTCCAGACCACAGACTGCCCAGGCTCCTGGAACAGATCTCCCTTCCTGATGCTTCCTGCTCCATGTCTCCACAAGGACATGCCCACAGGCCGCACTCCCGTGCCTCCTCCCCAAAGGTGTCATCCACAAGTGCCAGGCACTGCATCTGCCTGTGTGCCTGGTTAGTGGTCCTGCCCTGTGCTTGCCCCTCCACAGATCCAGAGAGTGGGGGGAGAGAAAATAATGCAAAAAGGTGACAAGGTCAAACATAAGCCTCTCAGAGTTTTATGAACTGTGCTTCCCTCCCTGCTGAGTCCGGAAAGCAGTCTGTATTTGAGCTGGATCATGCAGGAATATGTGGGGGTTTTCAGATATGTCCCACATGGAAATATACATGTCACATGAACATGTAGAGGTACTGGTGAGTAGAAACTTGGATACTGGAGAGTCCCTCCAGCCCATATCTGTCTGCCTCTGTGAGGAGTTTGGTTCCTATGGGGATAGATGAGAATATGGATGCAAATAAATGAGTGATTCACTCTTTCCCTCCACCCTGACCTGCTTCTAGATCATCCTGAAGG